TTTTCCCCTTTAATTCTTATTCTCCTTTAATTTTTAACCCTATCCATTATTCCACACTGGCAAATCCCTGAGATGGCAAAACAATAGCTAGAATGAAGAAGTTAGTTTAAGCCTCCCAGACTTAGTCTGCAGCTGTGGTGTATGTTGTGATGTTTTGGTTTTGTTATTTTTAATAGCTGCTAAATTGTAATACTCATTGCAATAAAGAGCTCTTTAAGTGTATCCCTTTGTGGTTTATATTTTTTTAAAGCTACTTTTCACTGGGGTACCAGATCAGCTGGTGCTTTCTGACAGCTTCTAGAGAAGCTGAATTGAGCACGTCTGTAAGGGAACGGGTTAAAACTAAGTTCATTCATTCATGGCTAGGCTTCGCGAACGAAGATTTGGGAAGGGCTCTACCCATGTTTGTTACAAGCGCGTTGGTGGCTAAAAAGGCCAATACGAGATAGGCACGTCCGGTTGCAATAGGTACAGCAGAAGGACTCCTTAGGTGGTATATTCTGCAAGACACGATTCTTTCTGCGTTGTCTTTTCTCCTCAAGAGTGATCCTGCGTGCTTTCTCAAAAGCATCAGCAGCGTTAAAGATAGTGTGTCTCCAGACCACTCGATTGGAGGCCAGAGTAGACCAGTTATGTTGATCAATATTGCCAAGGCTGAGATGTTGTTTCAGGGAGTCCTTGTATCTTCTCTTCGGGGCCCCTCTCTTGCGGCAGCCGGTGGCAAGTTCACCATAAAGCAGGATCTTAGGGAGGCGGTGGTCCTTCATCCTGGAGACGTGCCCTGCCCAACGCAGCTGTGTTCTCAGCAACATGGCCTCAATACTTGTAACTGCTGCTTGTTCTAGAACAGACGTATTAGTCACATAATCTGACCAGTGGATGTTTAGGATTGTGCGGAGACAGCGTTGATGGAAGCGTTCTAGGAGACGCAGGTGGTGGCGGTAGATGACCCATGATACAGATCCATATAAGAGAGTAGACAGCACTATGGCTCTGTAAACACTGATCTTTGTACTTTTCTTCAAGTGTTTATTTCACCATACTCTTTTATGAAGCTTTCCGAAGGCACTATATGCCTTTGCTAACCTATTTTCTATCTCTCCATTAATCTTACCATCCGAGGAGATGAGGCTACCTAGGTGTGGTAGTTAAGTCTAGGCCTTCCTTGGTGACCAGTTTGTAACCAAGGAAGTGCCCAGATTTACCCGGTATTCCCTACGAGTTTTACATAAGCCAGGGTATAAGAAGAAAGGAGGAGAGGCCTTTGCCCCTCTTTCCTTCCAGCGGCTTTGGAGGTGCGGGTTTCCCTGCTGTTGAGTCTGTCATGTTGGGGAGTGAGGCCTGGTAAGGCCTTGCTGACCTTGGGAGACAGAGGTTGCCGGCGGTCGTTCCAGTGCAGCTTTCTGTTGACCCAAGGAGAGTAGTAAGATATTCTTTTGTTAATTCTTTTAGTTGCTAGATCTTGGGCTATTGATCATGTATATTTTATTTTGGTTTTGTTCCTTTTTTCCCTTCCCCCTTCCCTTTCCCTTTTGAAATTGTACATATATTTCAATTGTACATAAATGTAATATAAGTGTAAATATATTTATATATATTGCTTTAGCTGTCTCTCTCTCGTTTCGGTTCTCTTGGTTTTTTTCTTTTCCCTTGGTTTGAGGGGGGAGGGGGGAATGGGGAGCTCTTGTGGTGAGGTTTGGAGACTTAGCAGGGAGCCAGCTTCAAACCACAACAGTAGGTAATTAAACTGCTGGACTGATTTGAGCTCTGATTGGCCAATGGTGATATGGGGATGATGGAAGACTTCCTGAGTTGCAGGTTGATAGAGAACTTCTGTGTTCTTTAAGCTGACTTCCAGCCCAAAGAGCTCAGCAGCGTCTGCAAAGCAGGATGTTAAATGCTGCAGAGCTGCTTCTGTGTGGGCAACAAGGGTGGCGTCATCAGCTTAAAGCAGCTCCCGGACAAGATGATTTAAGGTCTTAGTATGGGCCTTCAGTCGCCTTAGGTTGAATAGGCTTCCATCAGTATGGTATCAAATGTAGATACCATCCTGATCATCGAGGTCTGCCATGGCCCTTTGGAGCATCATACTGAAAAAGACTGTGAATAGGGTTGGTGTGAGAACGCAGCCTTGTTTCACACCATTAGTTATTAGAAAGGACTCAGAAAGTGCATTGCCATATCTGACTTGGCCGTGCTGATCCTCGTGGAGTGAGATGATCATTTTAAGGAACTTAGGGGGACAACCTAAACGTTCCAAAATCTGCCACAGACCTTTTCTGCTCACAGTATCAAAAGCCTTGGTGAGGTCGACAAAGGTTCCATAGAGACCTTTGTTCTGTTCCCTACACTTCTCTTGCAGTTGTCTGAGAACAAATACCATGTCTGTGGTACTCCTGTTGGCTCTGAAACCACACTGAGATTCAGGTAGAATTCCTTCTGCTATAGCGGGTATTAGTCTGTTCAGGAGTATTCTTGCCAGGATTTTGCCAGCAATGGAGAGCAGAGTAATACCATGGTAATTTGAGCAGTTTGATTTAACTCCTTTCTTCTTATACAAAGTGATGATGACTGTACCACGAAGGTCTGATGGTAGTTCGCCTCGTTCCCAACAGCGCACCACAAACTCGTGAAATTTAGCATGGAGTGCAAGGCCCCCATGTTTCCAGACTTCGGGTGGAATTCCATCAACCCCAGCTGCCTTGCCAATTTTCACCTGCTGTATGGCCTTAAGGGTTTCTCCTGAAGTTAAAACTAAGTATAGTATCTGGAAATGTCTGATTAGTTAGGTCTGAGCTTAGAGTCTTTTGGAAATGGGAAAAGAAAGATTTATATTTGTTTTTCCCTCTGAGTATGTCAAAATAGTATGAGAGTTCAAATATAAAGAAAAACTGAAATGTATGGGGCTTGTAAATTCTTTTCTGCTGCAAGACTTTAATTTCTAAAATGTGCGTTTGAAGCAGAAAGGTGAATCTTGGTTTAAAACAAAAAAACACCAGAGAATACAGAAAATGATACATAGATCAGTCTTAAAGGAGAGAATACTGCAAAATTGGACACCTCATCACAAGGAGTATTGTAAAGCTGAAAAATTGTATAAAAGCATTGAGAATGTTTGGAGGGCCTGGAAGAATAGGCAATTTACCTTGGTGGTAAATGACACCCTACTGAAGTGTTTTATAAGGCTGACAATCAATTCTGGGGCATTGAAAGGTCAAATTTGAAGCTAAAGACCAGGAAATATGTATATTATGTGTCAGTGAACTCCATAAATGGGGAGTATTGGTGTGTCGATAAACAGTGATAGTGATACTTGGTCGCCCACATCTTTCAACACTGAATTTAATGTATTATACCATCAATTGCTAGCGTTTAAAATGGGATCTTTAAAGCAAAAGAGGCTATCTTCTTTGATTTGGTCTTTTTCAATTTCTTGCATATGCCTCTGAAGCATCTAGTGTTGGCCTTGCTCAAATGTTGAAGTCTTTTTATAAAGCTCAGAGTGACTGCTGTTCCCTGTTTCAGAAACCTACTGAGTGTTTTGTAAAACAGCAGAGACCATGCAAGCCTCCTGTTTCATCTCTGGAGTTAGTGTACTGCATTAGGGGTCTAATGTGTTTCACTTCCAAGCTTGCAAACAGTTCAGAACATGTGAAAAAGGGAGTGTAAGACTGCTTAATTTGAAATGGATCAGTTTTTACTTGGTTATCTAGCTGAGTCTTTGTGGAAAGGTGTTAGCACTGGTGCTGGGAGCGTGGTGGTGTCACAGGGAAGAAAGGAAGGAGGGCTATGCTTCCTGCGGCAGGAAGCTGTTGCGTTGGCTTGCCTCCCTATGAAACTGTACCCTGAGTGCCCTAGTCAGTGTTTAATTTGAAAATTTCTATGATTCTCTGGTTTAGGATAGATTATTTTGAATAGCTTGCATAAAGTTACCAGTGTTAATCTTGAGTCCCTGTTAATTGGAACCTCTGTCTCCTTGATCCCAGAAAACTACATAGGACCATTATGTCCTCAAGCAATTTCTAACAACTGTCTGCATGGTTGGTTTGGGGCTTATATTTTAATACCTAGAAGTAACCTAATAGAAGCTTCAAAAACAAGATTTTTTTTCTAAATGGCTATAATTTTTCTTTTGAATGATTTGAAGTGCAAATTGCAGTGAATGTTAAACGTAGCCCAAGTTTCAGCATCTCTTCTAATATTTCATTTTATATAAAATATCCTGATCAGGTAGTTGATACTGAAAGGCTATCAAAGTTGAAAACAAACAGTTCTACTACCCAGGTGCCTGCAAACTAAGATTTCAACTATCCTTTAATGAATTTTGAAAGACTTGATGATTTCGAGCACTGCCAGTTGAGAAGATTGATTATCTGTAGACCATTGAACTCTAGATTGAAAGATGGGAATAAGCTTATTACCAACTTTATGAGTAAATTTCAAATTGGTGTCCACAGTAGAACAAAAATTGGTAATTTAAAGCATGATAAACAATGAGGAGAGGCTTGTGAAATGGCGGGCTGTTGGAAGAATTCTGTCAAGCTGTCATGACTAAATGACATTCCAAACCCAATTTTGCTTGCTAAATTAATTTGGACATGGGCAGAACATGCATATATGTGTATACAGTTTGTCAATCACTTGTGGAAAATTTTAATAAATGAATAGACCCAGCCAGCCTAGGTGCAAAGTTAATAGACTAAAGTTAATTTGTGTATTTTTCTGGAGTTGATTTAGCCAGGAAAGACTCGAGGAAAAATTAAATGTCTAATCCAACAGTAACCTTAGTCTGTCCTAACTGTTAAAGAGTCTGCAGCAAACTTGCATATGAACTTAATTGGTTAAGTATCTAACCACGATGCAGACTTATCTGAACTATTATCTGACTTGTTTTAGGATGCAGTGTCCTATGGCGTTTGGTTAATGAAAAGTCCTAAGAAGGTGTTTGTTTCATGTGAAACCTCAGTGCTAATGTGTCTGTTTTGGTTTGTGTTTTTAGGGATCAGACAGGAATCTAATTTATTGCTTGCTGAGTGTTCTGTCTGGTGAAAGTCATGTCATCCATATTGCCATTCACTCCACCAGTTGTGAAGAGACTTCTGGGGTGGAAAAAATCTGCTGGTGGCTCTGGAGGGGCTACTGGTAGTGAGCAGAATGGTCAGGATGAAAAGTGGTGTGAAAAAGCAGTGAAAAGCTTGGTCAAGAAGCTAAAGAAAACAGGACAGCTGGATGAGCTTGAGAAGGCAATTACCACTCAGAATTGCAGTACAAAATGTGTGACCATACCAAGGTAAGCGCTGTTGTGTTTGAAATTGTTACAACCACTTAAAAATAACTAAATGGATGTTTAGGCTATCTGAACAAATTATTAAAAAATCAGTTGCATGCTCTGATTCTTTACAAAATCTTTAAAACCTATTTTGTTTTTATACAGTGCTTGCTTACAACTGAATCACATGCTTTGTAAAGTTACAATTTCATATGTTTTCATAACTACATAGATTCCAATTTGTATGTATTCTGGTGGTGCCTGGCACAGCTCTTCGTTTGTAGCACTGCCTTATGCTTTTATTTAATAACCATGTCTATAATCAGAGGGGCATACTTGAACCTACACTTTCACTTTAAAAATAAAAGACTAATTTTTCCTTGGTCAACACTTCAGTCATCTAATTATTTTGTTGTATCTGGTAGTTTCATTTAAATTGTACAAGCTGCATCAGTTCTCCCTTTTGAAGTGAAGTTTTGTCTTTGGAGGCAGACTGTCTGAAGACCATTTTAATTATTTGTTACTGGTTAATGTAAATGCTTTTTTATTTAGTAACTTGGAGTATTTCTAGAACTGCTCTTCTGCTCCTGATATGTATATACATTTAGGTGAATGGCTTGCATTCTACCCCTTTGACTTTCTCAATTCATAGCAACTGCTGTGTGAGGGGCAAGGGTTATGCTTGTAAGTATAATGCAGGCTGTTTTCGGTTCACGTTGTACAGAAATCCCACTAAGGTGCCTGTGCAAGGTCATTATGTGCAACATAAGTATCAAATCACTTCACAGGTATATTTTTCTATGAAAAGGGGGTCTGGTGGCATGGAAATATTTTGGGCACTTAGCGCCTTGACACTTAAAATAATTTTTAGGGGAGAGAAACTGTATCTGGTTTATGACCTTAATTTCTATATTAGCACATTCATCCCAACTACTTTTAAACTTTGTATTAATCATAGTGCGAACTAGATTTGACTGGTGTCAGTAATGATTTCCATGTATCAAATGTGTTATAGCTGTTATCTGATAATGGTTTTAATGTTCTCTTTTTTAGATTTGACACAGCTGTCTGGGAAAATCATGAGTATGCTCTGAATAAATGACTACTTTGTGTTTTCTCTTTTCTATTCACCTTTTGTTTCTAATGTTGCCCTCTGCTTGTATTTTCTTCCCTAGAGCAGTCCCAAAATTCTCTGGGTTTCCCTTCTGCTTTCTTCCTTTTGCTGGCTGGAAAACAATCGGAAATAAAATATTAGCTCTTTCTTGTCTTAGTGTATATCAGTAGACTAAGATTGGAACCTGTAGGGGTATGTATTTCTTGACATAAGATGACTATATATTTAGGAAGTCTTTATCATGACAAAGACAAAATGCTTAATTGGGAGGTGTTTCACATGACAGAAGCTAAATATGCCATATAGAGATTCACTTGATATAAAATGTCTATCTTCTAGAGCTCTCCTGCAAGGGTACTGGGGCAGTAAATATTGCTATTTCAGAAGAATAGTTGTCAAATATTTTTTAGAAGATACAAACAGTATGCTAATATATCATTGTTTTCCTAGTCTACTTTGGGTATGTCCTCCTGCTTGCATGACCTTTTGTGTGACACAGTAAATAATAACAGAATACGAAGCTCTGTGATACTCTGTAAAGCCTCCATGTTGTGACCAGCAGTTCTTGCTGGGCTATGATGCACTCACTGTTCTCTATCCTCCAGTAAGCTGTAAAAAGGACTGGACCTAGGTTTTACTTTTCTTGCCTACCTTAGGAGCAAGCCAATAGCAAGAGAGCTCTTGAAGTGATGTTGGCTATTGTACAAGGTTTAATTTTAAATTAAGAAATGGCTTTGGTATTAAGGGTATTAAGAGATGATATCAGTGTTGCCAGAATTCTTGAGTTTCGTAGTTGGCTTTTGGACTGTTGATATTATTTCACTTTGACAGCAGTAGTCTGGGTTCCCAAAAAATAACAAATGTCAACTCAGTGCTGTAATGACTTCTGGAGATTCTTGTTCTTGGATTTAGTAAATTAACAAAACTACTGCTTGAGACCCATTTAATGAATGTCTTAAAGATCTGTAGATCAGCAAGGAAAAATAATAAAATGCTAAATTTGAAACTTTTTTCTTTCCTAGTCAGCAGGAAGTTTGAGGTGCCAAGATGCTGAGATGTAGTTTTGATGTGGTAGCTGGGCTAACTTTCCAAACCTTGTTCTGCTTGGGGAGGGTCTTTGTGTTTGGTTTTGTGTGGTTTTTTTAACTTGCTTTAGATTTACTTACTAATACTCAGTGTAGATATTGACAGGTGATGTGGGATGCTTCTGTTTGCCACTGTTGCATTATTCCCTCAACAGAAGTTTCAGTTGTGGTTTCACAAATTTCTGGTCCTCTTGGAGATTTCCAGAGTTTGATACAGTACTTAACTCTAGTATACTTTTTCGTCATTGAAACCTAAAGCAACTAAACACCTACAAGCTTTTCTCAAAACTGAGAGCAGCTTGGACAATGGTTGTATTAAATTGCCTCTTCAGAAATCTGCATATTATATATTACTGTATGTCATTGATAATCCTGTTGAGTTAGGATTGCTCTGTTTCTATGCTGTTTGTCAAGGTGACTACATACTGAGGCTGATACTGTGTGAGCTATGCAAAAGCTGCTCATGTAGTAATTAACAGAACTTCTGCAGACTAATAGAGGTTCTGAGAAAGCAGAAGCAAACAGATGGAGTGGGTGTTGGCATTGCACAGCAGGGGTGCTTAGCTCTTCGTAAATGGGTCAGTAATCTAGAGCAGAGGCTAAATAAGTACAGAGGTCCTTTTGACACTAGCCCTCTAAGTAATTTGTAGTTATATTGCTGAATCCTCCCAGCAAGCCAGTGGGATTCTAATCACATAATCCCTGTGTATCTTGAAACTAAATGTTGGTATGTGAGTTCACTTTTCTAAAACACATAATGAATTTGGTAGAATTTAAGATCCTTTCTTTATGCTCTCCTTTGCAGTTTGACAAATGGGGCACAAGAAGCAGTCAGTGAAGTAACAGAGCATGAGCATCCATTTATATGTCTTCTAATGGAGCAATTTCTTATAATGGATTATTCTGTTGAAATAGAATGGCAGAATCGTAGAACAGTTTGGGTTGGAAGGGACCTTAAAGATCATGTAGTTCCAACCTCCCTGCCATGGACAGGGACACCTTCCACTAACTAAACAAGGTTGCTCAAAGTCTTGTCCATTAATACTTTGTAACTAGTGGTAGCTAAAATCCAAGCCTTTAACAAACCAAACCATGCCTCATAGTGAATAGTCAAATGGCATATTCATAATCTATCTTCATTATTTAAAAAGTTGTTTCAGTGGTGACAGTACATAGTATTGGAATCCAAAGCAGGGAAACAAATAACTAGTTTCCTCATCTCAGTTTTTTGGTGTGATCAGCTGTGTGGTTTTTCTGTCTTTAAAAGAGTATAGATATGCTTCATGCTTTCTTCTTGCTTCTTGTAAATAAAACTTACCAAATGCAGTTACTTTTGTAAAATGCCTGATAATGTACAACTAATAACAGAGTTTAGTCGGGACAGGTTTGGGATAATGTTGGCCTGGACTGTTGTAGCTTCTATATTTTTAAAAATGAAAAAAAGCTAGGGGAAGGGAAGCATTGAGTTTAGACTCCTTCATGATGTCCTGTGTTCCTCTAGAGCATACATATCTGAAACCTAATGCAGAACTGACTGTGTCCTTCCTGAGCTGTAACTGGGTACATCCATATCACAGGTTGATTTCTGCTTCCATGCAAATATTTGTGTAATTTGACAACTGTATTAGGGCTTTATTTTATATGAAGTATTACTACTAAAACTGCAGAGTCTGATGAAAGTTCATCAAATTTGTGAAAGCAAGACTGTTTGACATGGTCAAAATTCTCTAAAGAAAATATGAATTTCTCTATTATACTAATGTTATTCCTTTGCTTGCTTGTCCTGCAGCCCTTTTTTCATTCCCTGCAGTGAGTTAGCACTATGGGTAAGATAGGCAGCCTAGGCATAGCTTACGGCACATGTTAAAATTGTTTTCTGAAGGCTGGTTCTCTTCGTTAGTTAATATGAGCCTCCATACGTGGAAGTTTAGTGGTGATCACAGTGTTTACAAAGGAGTTAACAGCAGAAGTAAACTGGGCAAGGAAATGTCCTGTTTAAAGATGGGACAACTCGCTTGGAAATGCTGTTTGAGAACAAACAAACCTTAAAATTATGACATTTTGATGCCTTTTTCTTCACACGACTGAGTAAAAAGTAATTTCTAATTTAGGTCTAAAGGGAATAATTTTTCTTAAATATAACTTGTGCTACTAGTTAGCATGTTTTCTTGAATTCCCTGGGAATATTTGTCAGGAAAGTGATCACATAGCTGCATTCAATAACCTAGTTTTAAGGATGCTCTTGATCACCAGTAGAGCAGAGTTGTCAAGCTAATGTGGCTTTTAGAATTGTTCGTTTTCAAGCTTTAAGATCTTTCCCCAAAATAGGTTACTTCAGAGTATATCAATACAGAAATTCCTTTGTTCCTTCTCAGGTTAAAGCCACAGGAAATTGGTGGTTTCAACAATTACACTGGGAATAGGGAAAGTTCCTCTGGAAACTGTTTTAGGAGAGTTCCCAACATCTGCTGCTAAGCTATGAGTGAATTAGCTAAGAGGACAACAGCAGGCAGTTAGATTGACACGTTAGATCCTAAATTAACGTTGCTATTCCAGACAGAGGTGAAGTCTGTTTTCCCAAAAGCAGAACTTGGCACTGTCTGCTAGTTTGTAGCTGAGCTGGGATAATTTACTATTCAAGTTGGGGATGGACATCGATTCTTAATCATAGCTCACAAGTTGAGAGCTGCTATGTATAAAGAATGTCCTCATAGCATATGCCATATCTCAGTCCATATGTATTCACTTAGCTGTAAATTGGTTCTATGAATGTTTGAAGACTATAGTTGAACATCTTGAGCTTTCTAAAATATAGATATTTA